CATTGATCGAGACCTTCAACTCCATTGAAGCCCCTCATGCAAACATGACAGCGTCCCTCTACTCCAATTTGTTTGAGTCTCGATGTACCGTGTGTTTTCTTTTGTCTAGTTTGATCGCTTAAAATATATTACATATAGTTCACCATCATGCTGCTCAGGTTGTCTGAGCGTGCTGCAGCCATTGACAAGGAATTGTTGGCCGTGACTGAGCAAGTGACTGGTGTCAGCACGGATGGCATCGTTGATGGCTACAAAAGGAAGTAGCTGGGAACATGAATCTTTTACCATGCACGCATGTGGACACTACTGTATACTGCATGGGGTGATGTATTGCAAGCTATTCGATCTATAGTACCCTTTCTCCAGGATGAGCATGATCATGTTCTCAAGCCAAGTCATTGGATCTGAAGGGCTGCAAGTCAATAACTGTGGGCTAGAATACTTGCACTATTATACAACGTCTGGTCCATTCCTAGCAGCATATCGGCCCTGAGGCATCAAGACCAACTTGCTGACATGTTCAAAAATGGGAGAAAAACGTGCCTTGGTTGCGCGGTTGCTGTTCCAATTCAACCCACGGCCATTTGGTCAAAACCAAATTGTTTGTTTTGTTTTAGCGCTAAGTTTGCCCAAACCTCCTCACGCATGCACATCCGCAAACACTCCTGGACCCAATTGAACTTCTTGCTGGTCTTCTCGGGCAGCCTCTAGTGTTGTCGATCAACGGGTCCTGACTCACCAAAATGGAAACCATGCTATTGCGCGAGTTGTTTTGGAATGCTTTGCTATACCACCACTTAATACTGCATGGTTGTGCTTGACATGACTCTAGCAATGTTTTCCCATCTTGGATGGATCTCACCACGCTGCACACCCTTAAAGGGAAAGTCTGTCAATTTCGAGAAAAGTCCCTTGGAACCTTTGAGAGCACCCCCCACTCAATGTTGTGTTTTTTTGACCCGGGGTGCATGTCAAACATCGGTGTGTGTGTGTGAACTTGAACTCAAAGGTCAAAGCTGATCTTTCATCGTCAAACATGTTTTGTCTTACGGGGTCTGTAAGCAGTGGGTCTCCAACATCTCGATCCAAACTAGAAAAAACATGTTCAACATCTCCCTCCTGTCGCCGCGTCCCAGGTGCGCCGATGCCCTCAACCTGAGCACTCGAGCACAGTGCGGTGCCCAAGGGCAAGTGTATTCGGAATTGACGTGGGTGTAGTTGGAATGGAATTGCAATAGTGGCAAGACTTTTGGGTGAGATGGTAAGATGCTAGCTGCTATAGCTATAATACTTAAGATTGGATCTGGCTCTGTCTCTTCTTTGCTCTCCTGTGCTTCGACCTTAGGCCCTTCATCAGCCACATCAAGAGCCAGCTGAAGAAAGAACAGCGTGAGCGTGAGAAGGAGGAATTGGGTCCGAGAACGCCTGCGCCAAAACCTCCTAAGCCTACTGTGAAGCAGGAGCAATCCAAATCCCGCCGGAGAGGGTGAGCTGTCGCATCACTAGTTGGCACAACTAGAACTGTTAACAAGAACTTGTTTTGCGTTGGGGTGTGATGCTGTTTGGTCCTAAGCATCGCCTTAGGCTGGGATTCCTGCAAGGTAATGCCTTGCCTGGTTGGGTGATAGAACATCTGCCATGACAAAAGGTTTCAGGGGTGGAAAGGGAAGCTGCTGTGCGACTGTGTGCGCCCTCTATCTCGATCGCTATATAGTCTCTCTTTGTCGCTTTTTCGTACTCGATTTCATTTAGCAAGTAATCGATCTATAGAATCTATAGATTGCCAGGTGCTTCATCATCAAGTACACCGGGCCCTTTGATTACGCACATAGTCGAAACTATTGCAGATGGGGTTGCTTGCCTACTAAATGATGGTTTATTGCAAGTTTCCCCATGTGTCCCCCATCTCCATCATTGGTTGATCAGAAGAACCCTTTTCTGGTTGTTACGACTTGAGGAATTGAGGACCCCCACCCAAGCCAGTTCAATCCGCAGTCATCTCTTGGCTGAACCTGCTGAGGCTCCGGCGCAAACGCTCCAAGCCCACGGCACTGCCCTGCAAAACGAACTGCAGTGTGACCCGTGTGCTGCACTGCACCCTTCTACTGTCACCATGTTGGGCCGTTCGATCAAGAATGCATCAAGACAGTACCAAAGGGCCGCGAAACGCTTTGGATTTTCTTTGAACCTGTGCCCTGATTTAAAACGTTTTTATCTGTTCATTCACTGCTTGGTGTCCCAGCTAAGCCCTGTCAAACTGTCAAACTGTTGGGAGCTTGGGCCATAGATCAACAAGCAAGGAAAATCCCAACATCGTACCATCAGTTTACTGAGAATGGAGACACTACTCAGCTGCCATATCTCAAACCAAGTGATGTTTTGTCGCAGCTCTTCACTGAATTTCCTTGGCTGTTGCTTGGTGGCCTCAACCCTGGAGCAGCAGCAAACAAATTGTTGGGTTCCTTTTGGAGGCAATACCGTTTGGAACACAGTTCGCATGCTGTCTTCCAGCGTGCTGCGAGGAATGAAGTCCAGCTGGAATATGTCATTCCACTTGTGATGCATGGAGATGGTGGGAGGACACTCAAGAAACAACCACTAGAGTGTGTAAGCATTCAAGCAGTGTTGGGGCTCAATACTTTGGAACCAGGACAAGCGTGCTCTTGTTGCCAAGCCTACACCTATGGTGGTGGACTTGATTTCAGTGATCCCATGATGCAAAGGTTGAATGCCAAGAACAATTCGTACCTCACACATTTTTTATTGTGTGCCTTTGCTTCGAAGCGCTTTCCCAATTTTCCGGGCCTGCTCATGAGCATTCTTGGTGGGATCGCTGAAGACCTTGCTGAGATCTGTGAGGCTGGCATTGAGTATGGTGGATCCAGGTATTGGTTTGCCCTTCTTGGATACAAATCTGATTTAGAGTATGCAGCCAAGACTGGCCTGCTATCACGCTCCTACCAAAATGTTGGTCATAAGAATGAGATAGAATGTTGCCACCAGTGCGGTGCAGGAGGACAACAAGTTCCCTTCGAAGACTTTGGTGTGCGCGCGCGCTGGAAGAGCACAGTCTTTCGTAGTCCTCCATGGACACAGCTGCCGCCATTTGCGTCTTTGTCCTTTGAACCATGGCTCTCTGGTCGTGCTGCCATGTGGTTTCGGCATGACCTATTCCACATCTTTAGATTGGGTTGTGCCCGGAACTTTTGTGCCAGTGCAATCTTGTTGTTGGCATACGAGAACTACTTCGACTCTGATGGAGACAGCCATTCTTTGGATGCCAGGCTGAAGAGGGCATGGTCGAACTTTTATCTTTGGAGTTGCGCTGAAGGTGTCACTACATCAGGCATTCGATCATTTTCAAAACAAAAAATGCACAGGAACACAGAGTCGTCATTCCCTTACCTGGGTTGTAAGGGAAGTGACACGATATTGTTTCTCAGATGGCTCCGGTGGCTTACAGCGCTTCATCGTTTGAGCGCACCCCCAGCTTCTTCAGGCTGGGTTGTTCTGAACTTGGTTTGGCAGGGCTGCAATGCTGGGCTGATGCTTCAAAAAGTGCACAGCCATGGATTGTGGCTCAAAAGGTCTTGCAATGTCTCCGCCAGCAAGAGTGCCCAAGCTTTTCTTGCTTCATATGCTCGCTTGGCCCAGCTATCCTTGCAGAAGAACCTATTCTTATTTGGCATGGTTCCAAAACTACACAGCTTAGCGCATGTGGTGCATGATTTGCAGTCCTCAGAGGCACAAGAGCACAGCCTGAACCCAGCTGTATTCGACACCTCTACTTCAGAGGATTTCATAGGCCGAGTTTCTCGGCAAAGCAGAAGGGTGAGCTATCGAAATCATACACACAATACATTGTTGGCCTACAAGATCAAGGCCAATTTGGTGATCAAGCGCTTCAAGAACGCAAGGGGACTTTGATGTCTGAAGGGGAAAATGGTTTTGCGGCTGCTGTTTGACCAACCACCCACCCCGGCTTAGCAACCAAGTCACAAAGCTTGGCCATAGCATAGCTGCCCGCTAGATTGAAGTGTTGGGAAGGATCTTGGAGGGATGCATAGGTGGATCCAATTTTTGTGGTGCATAATCGAAACCAAGTGGAAGTTGTGTCCTTCAGACTGGAATGTTCATGCATGACAGAGCTTGAGCATCGCAGAACCTGTGAGGTAGACATGCATGAGTCTTACAATTTCCAAAAAGTCTCCGGGGCTGTTTTTTGTTAAGGGTCTGAAATCAAGGAGAAGGTCTGAAATTCTTTGTTCTAATCTCAGGGGCTGAAATTCTGCACAGCCGGAGGGTCCAGGTACTTGCAAGGTATAGGACAGGCTGGTTGGATTCATACTTAATTGAAGACTATCTGCTCTCCTATGTTCTTCCTTCAACAGCTCGGGGTACACGTCAACGAACAGTGAACACTGTTAGCGTTTCTGGGTGACAAAGGTGGAGAGGGTCCTGAAGTTTTAAGCTTGCAAATGGTGAAGTTCTGAGGACAACTGACTTTCTGGGGGGCCAGGTATCGCAATCCGATTCCCGTTCCTCAAACTCCATTCTGAGCGATGGGCTGGGACCCGGGATGTTGGCGTGTTTGGTTCTTTTTTCACAAACCCAGACAACTGCCATATATATATATATATATATATGCTGATCAGTTGGGATGGTTGACTGGGGGTCAATGGGGCGGAAGTCCTATGGCAGTCCCAAACAGGTCGTGTCTGGAGCATTGGAGACTCGAAACTCTCAGAACGAGCGACGAACGAACTGAACGACGGAGACCAGGTGGGTTGACCTGTACCACTGTACCCCATATCTAATGTGCTTTACTGAGTTTCACATGCCTCGCGAAACTCAGCCAGAGCCCCTTGCGCTGGGTATTGTCCGGGCCGCTTATGAAGGTCAAACCACTTTGCCAAGAAAAACCTCGCCCAATCTTAAAGTTCCAGCAACAAAAGCAATTCTTGAATCCAAGCCCCAACTGGCACACACATTGTCATCAGGCAGAAGTCTTCATCATCTTTGTAGTCCGTCACCGGTGCAACAAGTTCTTGAGAAAGCCAGGCTGCAACAACCCGAGACTGGAACTGTTGGATCGTCACAGGGACCAAGAGGCACATGGCAGTTTTGTTCAATGGGTCCACTAAACTTTGCCTCAATGCCTAGGCCTAGGAGTCTCAGTGTACATAGTAGCCACCAACTTACAGACTCATTGAAATCCACTGTGCTGGCAAGATCGGATTCGCTTCTTGGAGAATCTGGGCTGGGAATGCCTCAGGCACAGGGAGATAATATACATACATATATACATGCATATATATAGTGTATATATATATATAGGCTTCATGCTTGTTTGCCAAATGTTGTTTTCCAATTTGTTCCATACCCAAAACACATCATATATATATTTGTTTGTATATACTGGTTTTCCCAGGTGATCACAAGAAACGTCAGTTCCTTACAGTTCCTTATATTGTGGTCACAGGGATCCTTTGGATATGTCTTCGGAGCGTTGTATCCCTGTCGAAAAGAACAGCAGTTTGCGCCAGTCTTCACCCTATAAGGAGATGACTTGCTGAGCGATTTGGTGTCGGGTGACGACTACTGAGTGGCCTTTGGCTGGGTGCACCTATGAGCAACAGCCTTGTCCAAAGCATTGTGGCGGAGACCTGTAGTAGGTCTCCGGTGTGTAAAACTGCTATGATGTTCTTGTCCCTGCCAACTGGGAGAGTGCGAACACTTTGGGCATGTGGAAGAGAAGTGTGGAGTCTATCTTCGAGATACTAATTCAAGGTTCCTACATGCCGCATGTGTTGGACGTGGTCGCAGGGTGCCTGACACAAGTCTGGCAAAAGCGATGAAGTTGCACTCAGACATGTGACTGATGCAATGGAGGATGAAACAAACACCGGATTCACCAACATGTTTTGTTCCAAACTGCATTCACCGGGACCCTTCACTGGACGCTTCACATTGATCTCCAAAGGGAGACGAAAAAGAGTCTCCAGGTGCCAGGTGCGGGCGAGTCGAGCGAGTCGAGCGGGCGTCCAATCCATTCGTTCACCCTGCGGTTGGGTGAGTCGGTGCGTGATAGCGTTCAAAAGGGCCCCTCCCATTTGGGCCTCAGAACTCAGAAGTCCTGGCTCCAAATGCAAAAAAATCGTCCAAAGACCATGTGGGCCAAAACCTTAGGCAAATCACCCTCCCACTGGACCCTGTCAGCGGGTAAACAGCTTTTTTGAGACTGAGGCAGTCAGCCATTTGGCACGTGAGTCGAGTCTTGAGCTGGCTTCTAAGACCCCTTCACCGTGGGGTCGAGCTGCTAGAGTTTAGACCTCGAAAAATCTGGTGTCTTCATGGGACCCAAGTGTCATATGTGTCTTTTGTGAATGGTTGGGCCGGGTTTGATAGGGAGGATGGCCGGAACCTGGTGTTTTTGGAATCTCCGCATAGCCTACCCAGCTTCCCTGAAATGAGTGATGTGTGTGCAAACCCCAAGGATATAGGCTCCGAATGTCCATCAGGTGCTCCCGCTCGACCAGCGCCAGGCGGATGCTGCCGACACTGCAGCTCCAAGCTCCGAGGCAATGCCGACAGCGACCGCAGCTGCGCCCGCAGACGGCGCCGAGGACGGGTCAGCGGGCGAGACCTCCGCCGTACCGAATGCTGAGAGTGGACCGCTTGCAGCGCCAGTGGTGGAAGCTGGGGCACCAGAGGCTTTGAGGGAGCCCACCAGTGCGACAGGCGCGGGGTCGGTTGGCGATGTCACTGAGTGTGGGCAAGGTTTCATTTGGGAGTTGGCGGAATCAGATGTTTTTCATGCCATTTGGCAGCGGCTTGTGCCCAAAGCAGTTGATTCTACATGTTGCAGTTGAGGTCAGCCTTAGGAAGCGGCGAAAGATGGGTCTAGCTGATATAGAAGTCTATACTGTTGGTATTACAGTATAACACACAAACTGGCTTGGATCGGATTGGATTGCATGGTTACACGAAGCAAACATGACTGGCGGAGCAAAGCCAATCAAGCCCCGTTTGGTTTGGGCTGCGTCCCACATCCGTTTGCAGCAACCTGGAGCTGGTGTGTATGAGGTTTGGCATTTGCAGGCAACGATCGTAACTATACCGACTATAAGCCTTTCTCGGGCAACGTCATCTTCTCCAGATCCTATACTCTTGGAGATCTTTGCTGGGGCGTTTTGTTGTTGCAGCCAGCAGAGAGAAATTGGACCCTCAACAGCCCTGCCTCTTGGATTGCGCCACTCACCGTGTTTTTCAGGCCACCTGCGTCCGGGAGTCCTGTGATCCCCAGAGAGGGCCAAAAGGTGCCCACCAGACCACCAGATGATCCATTCATGGCCGAGGAGTCATCCTGGATTCCTGGATGGATGATTTGTGTCGTCGACATGTTGGACTGTCCGACAGTTGACAGTCAGAAGCCCTTCTGAACACTGGTAGACGCCAGCACTGCGTATCGGTGAAGAGACAGAGGAGGTGAGACCTGATTCTGTCCGAGGACACCACTTGGGCCCTTCGAAGCTGGAATGGGAACATGGCCGCCAGTTCTACCCTCTTTTTTCATCACCCCCCCCCATTTGGATTTGGAAACCTCTTCATCACCTCCCTCGCGGCCCGTCCTGTCTAAAAGCTCTTCATTTATTGGGGGGTTTATTAATCAAGAGTGGTTCTTCGTGTGGGTGCAAGGCTCGCCTGTGGCCCCGGTCGTCTTTGGCGAGGAGCCATGGCCGGGGTGCCCATCGTCTCAGCTCGATTGAGAGATTGAACAACACGTGAATGACAAGAACCTGGTTTGGGTGGAAAGAACTGATCCTGCACGCTGTTCTGGAAGGGGCCTATCCGATCTATCCCTTGCCCTGTTGTTTTTTGCGGGTGAACATGGTTGAACAGATATCGATCCAGTGGTACAGGATGCTTGCACTATGCCAATCCAGTGCAAACATAAATAGAGCAACAGGTGTCCCTCAGTGGTTTTGGTCGACGTTGAATTATGTTTATGTTGTCCTTTCTTCACTTGCTTCTTGTGTTCCATCGTCGACCCTCTTGGAAGACGATGTCACCATGCCTTGCCCATGCAGTCCTCGTCCACATGTGCATAGTACTTAGTAGACTATTTATATAAGACTTTGACAATCTTGCTAGATGTGCTCGGGCAACTCACTGCTGGCCAACAACATTGAACATTTTGGTCAAAAACCCAAGACCAGCAGCTGGAAGCCAGTTCTACCAAAGTAGCGACATCTTCCGTCCGACCCACCGTGTCATACCGAACCCGAACGGTTCTACTTCGCGACACCGAGGCGAGCTCCCTTGGTGGCCGGGAATCCTGGATCGATCCCTCCGGTGAACACGTCGGATTCAGGGAAGACCCGAAACACCGGGGGCGGTGAGACGAGGACGGAGCGGGATGGGCCATGGATCGGTGGATTGGTTCAAACATTCTAAAAGCTTCTTGTTACTACTAGTAAGGCACCTGTTACTACTAGCGATGCACTTGTTCCTAGTAGCTTCTTGTTTCATGTTCTATGATGTTCTATCAGACTCAGATTCTACTGAGTATTCTGCATCATGTGTTGTTTTCCATTCGTAGTATTAGGTGCTTTGAATCCCTCCTACTTCGGTGGGTACCCACGTGGGTAATTACCACAAACAGGTGTGGGTCAGCCCTTGCTGAGAAAGCCCACCAAGAGAAGGGCTTTGGAAGGCCAAAAGACTTGGAGGGCTTTGTGATTTTGTGGCTGTTTCCTCGTTCAGCCATTGGAGAAATCTTTGTTTGCTCCAGGATTTTTGTTTGTAAAGGTTCGTAAAGATGTGTTGGATAAAAACATGTTGGCACAGAATCTGTTTCCTCTCGGAGCCTCTAAGATCATGAAGATCAATCTTCAGAGCTGTGACACAGCTGGCACAGATTGTATCTGTACAACTCTTAACCTCATTTGCTAAGTGTTTCTGGTGTGTCTCTGGTGGGTGTTTTCATTTGGGCCAGAGCTTCCCAGAGCTTCCTTGTCGGACACTGACAGCACACGCCTCCGCGGAGTGAGAAGAAGAGCGAAGAGATCCGGCGCAGGCGGCCTTAGAGAAGGCGCAGCGGGATGGCAGCGTGGCGTTCCAGTCCGCCAGGCCGCGATGTTTCTTTTTTTCGCGCGGGATGGCAGTGTGGTGCGGGGGATGGGTCATGGTGAGGAGCTTCATCCAGTCTAGCACGAGTATATATATATATCGTACTATATATAGTTATATGTCTATAATTATCTATAATATATACATGCATTATGTTGTAGAGCTTACAGGTGTAATGTCGACGTAGGATTAATCAACCCCCCCTTCAAGGTCAACAAGGTTTTTGATGGGAGGTTTTGGAGACCACATCCCCTTAATAAAGATGATGACCTGATGATGGATGATGAGATGAGGACCTGGACCAGATGATGGGTGATGGTTGATGGGATGATGGTTGACTGGATGGTCCGATGACTGGTGGCCTGTGGAGGATTGGTATGACCTTAAGGCATTTGATTCCCAATGGGAGAGGGATCAGAAAATTAGAGATTGGTGATATTCTCTTTGATTGGGAAGAATTGGAAAAGGAAGAGGATTGCAGGATGAAAGCATTGGACAACAAGAATGAGGCCAGAGGGTGGGCTTGATTAATAGGGGGAGGGGTCCTACTATTGGGGGGAGGTAGGGCCTGTGTGAGGGGTACCCTTTCTGAGCTTGAAAAAAACAAGATTTTGATATAGTTTTAAAAGGGTAAAATGAACGAATTTTGCTAGAGAGATTTTTGGGTTTGGGTGGATTTTGCTAGATAGTTTTTGGGGTTTTGGGGGATGGTTGGTAGCATGAGCCCTTAGGAGAAGCCATCAAAAGGATTGGTGAGCAGGATGAGGCAGCTGAGAGGTGGTGGTGAGAATCATGAGACAAGGGTGGATTGGAAGATCAGTTTCACCATGGACCAAAAGATATTGAACGCTGAACAGGTAGCAAATAAAAATTGCATAATTAGAAAAACAACATATATATTTCTTTTTTTCTGGGGGAGCTGGGCTTGATTAATAGGGGGGGGGTTCTGGAAAGGAACCTCCCCCTGATAAGAGATCAAATTAGTTTAGTATTGGAGGCTCCAGCTGGGCTTGATTAATAGGGGGGTTGGTTAATCCTAGGTTGACATTAAGGTATATAGTATGCAGATGTACACTGTATACAGCAACCACAGATGTATAGGAGTTGCAAGGGCTGGGGTGCTTTGTAAGAGTCCAGTATCCCGGGACCTACCCCCACCTGGGGCTATTTAAACTCGATTTGCGGTCGAATTCACCATGAAGGCTCTCACTAATTCACCATGAAGGCTGTTTCTTTGTTTGTTTGATTGTTTGTTTGTTTGTGGTTTGATATTGTTGTTTTTGCGCGTATGTTAGCCAAAGAATCCACTCGCAGACTGATAGGGACCCTTACCTTGCAATAGGCACCCCTTGGAACCGCTGGCATGCAAACATATTCTTCAGAGGCGGTCCCTACTCTGGGATGGGCTGCCCAACGCATAGAGATGGGTTAAACCTAGAGAGCTTCAGATTCAGCTGATTGGTTGGATCCCGTTTGCGCCCCATGCTAGCCCAATGGCAGGCGGCCTTCCCTAACAAAAGGCCCCAGTCTGATGTTTGAAGCAGTCGACCCAGAAAAAGCAACAGCGATGTGGAGGTTTCACACACCCCAATCCCAGGGTCACAAGGCCCGCCGGTCACTGTGACTTAGAACCTATCCACCAATCAGTGTCAGTGAACGTGGAGCCGTCACTATGACACTTGACGAGACTCCAGGTCGGCCGTGGCCAGCCGGGGCCTTGGGGACAGAATCTGCAGTCAGCAGAATGTATGCATCAACTGCAGAATTTGTGTTGGCATCAATTCAAAAGTCATTTGTGTTACTGGTAGAGTGATCTCGTATTAGATTCAGATCTCCAGATTTGCTCAAATCTGACAGATATAACTACTTATATAAATATATATACTTATATAGTAGTATATATGTACCTGTGTCACAAGTGGATCCGAGTTCCACGGATCTTTTTTTGGTTCGCTGGATCAATGTCTCAGCTCCAGGCTTGGATCCAGAATTTAAGGCGCTGACCCTGCACCAGGCAGGAGGGCTACGGTCTCCGGCGGTCAAATAGATTGGGACACTGACCCGACATGCGACATCAAGTCAGATGTGTTGCAGTCCTGACATCACTAGTTTCCAGACTGGTCTAAGACTGAACCGATGCAAAGCAGGAACTCCTGGAACTAAGCACAAGTCATAGGTCGGGAAGAAGAACAACCTCCCCCAAGAACAACCTCCACTCCTGCTCCCCTAGGGAGCACTTGTCCACTCCTGAACCTTGCATATGATGTGAGTGGACAAGAACAGCCTCCCCCAAAGAACTCTTGGTCGCAGGTGCGTTGCCTGCGCGATGAGGTGGTGAAGGTGGAAAAGGCCTGAAGATGCCCATCCAGATGCCGAAGTGGAGAGATCGGTCGGCTGAAAAACAGAGACATCCATATGTTTTCCGGATGCTTGAGAAAACGGTGAAGGGAACAGAGACAAGTCAAGAAGTGTCTATTGAAATCATTTGACATCAATTGAATCTATTCCTTGGTGGTCTTCAAATCTGTCGAATGTGCATGTTTGGGTGATTTCCGTCATCAGTAGGTTTTGGAAGGAGACTGGGTGTTTCTTCGCCTCACCTGAAGGAATAAAACCCGCTTTAAGTGATCATAAAGGATCTATATACTTGGTTTGCAATAAAAAGACACTTGCTGTCATTGGTTTCACTGGTTTGAGATGTTTTTTCATTGGTTTGAGTGACCTAATCCTGTCATCTCAAAAAACGGTTTGCAGTTTCCTGCCAGCTTGTGTGACACGACGCTTCGAGGGCGAGCTTTCAATCATTTTTGGGGGGGCTTGTGTGGTCATGGGCTGAAGGTTTGTGTGGCTCCCCTAGCACGTCTCTGCCCAGCAGAAGTCCAGAGATTGGTTTTGGGACCTCCCCAGGGTCTACATTGATGAGTTCTTTTGGTCCACTTCTCCCAGAGACCACGTGCGCCAGAAGCACGTCTCGACCGGGTTTGAACCACGTCGCAGGTGGAAACCTTGCGCATGGCTGTCTCCATGATCAAGGAGGCCCCAAGGGATCCCGGCGATTTTGCAGGTCGCTGGTGCTTTGGATCAATGGATTTGAACTGGTTGTGGTGTGTTGTGCCGCGGAACCTCAACAGAGGGCTGGGTTTTAGTTTCTTTTCTGCCCTGCGGGTTTCCTTTCCTGCAGGGGTGGAAAAGGCATCCTGCACAGGGTGGAAAAAGAACCCTGCACAGGGTTAAAGAAAGCCCATGCGTGACAAGGTGGAAATAGAACCCAAACAGGGCGGGGAAAAAACCATGCCCCTCAACAGATCTCCTGGGTGGATTGGCCGCAGCTTGGGCCAATGCCTGTGGCAACTCCATGGGAGATGGAGTATCGGCAGACTAGTCCGTGGTTCTCATGGGCGGGTGCTGGTTTTACACATTTGGTTGTGAAGTCGATTGAGTGCCAGCGCATGCGGCGCATGACAAGTGACCACAAGTCCTCCATTCTCGGTCCTCGCATGACAAATGGGTCACGCAAGTTGATCCAATCATATCCCGGCCAGACATGCAAGTTGAATGTTCTGCATATTTACCTCTATTCTGTTTGGTATCAGGGATCAATATTCCATCATTACATGGAGTGTTTGGGTGTTGATTCTTGTGATCCCATTACAAGAGAAGCCCTATGTTGCCCACCTGGTGTTGTCACCTGGCCACTGTCTCGTTTCTTCACATCGTCTCGGTCAACGTCTCGGACGTCGCAGGTGAAAGTCATGATCTCGGACTTGCAGAGTGTCAGCGTGCAGGTCGGTGTTTGTTCGGAGAGATTACCCACCGGGCTTTGGCGGGTTCTTCGGGGGCTGTTGGCTGTTGGGACAGATTAGTGTTTTGGATGAAGCACGTGTTTGGCAAGTGCGGTAATTATGAGGTTTTTGGAAATTCTGTATAGAAAAAAGATCTGAATAACATCGAATAACCAAAGCATGCGGTCAGTGGTGAGTTGGACATGTGTGATGCTGATCGCATAGTGCCAGATGGTGCCATTCTATTCAGCTCTTCTGAAAAAATAAACATTTTCACCGCACCTGTCAGATTCTTACTAGGAACCCCATGGTGCCATTCTAGTCACCCTCATGGTGCTGTTCCACCTGTCAGTAGGCCCTGGAACCCGGGAACCCCATGTTTTCCACCGTCCAATGAGTCCCGGCCGACAGGCCGCAGACGCTGAGCCCGACGCCGACGCTCCGATGCCCGACCGAAGCGCCGCCGATGCGCCGGTCGCGGCGCCCGACGCAGCCGAGACGGCGGGCGAAACGCCGGTGGTGCCAGTGCCAAGTACGACAGTTGCCTGCTTTGGAGTGTTTTGTGTGTGTGTGAGCAATAATAGTTTATAGAATAGTAGAATACCTATATTGTATCCTACTTTATAGTACTGTCATTTGTTGTAAAAAAATATATATATATATAGTATAAATAGGTCTAGTACAAGTCAGTTCTTGGTGAAACTGGGCCACATCATTCCTTAAACATCTAAGGTGGTGGTGGTGAAGGCCACCATCAGCCCGGAGGAGCGACAACAGAAGGACGGCGGTTTCAGCCTTTGTGTTTTGATGGTTTCAGCCTGTTTGCTCCCGGAGACCTCTTTGACCACAGAATTAAAGAGCTAAAGTGACGTGCTAAAGGAAGTAGTATAACATAGCTACAGGTCTTACAGACCTCATTTAATTTTGACTGGATCCGGTTATGCACAACCAGTGCTCAATGAGGTCAAGGACCAGGTTTAACTTGGCCCTTGGACTTGTAGGGTAGTATGACTATTGTCCATCCTTGACCACCTCCAACTTCGACCTCTTAGCCCAAGCAAGATAGTCTAGAATAGTGTTCCCTTGTTTTTACTTTTTTGCTTTCCCTCATGTTCTTCGAAAAAAGATGCATTGCCTTTCTTGAAAGTGTCTTGCCTTTCTTCCAAGTGTCTTTGTTACTTGGGCTTGGGCTGTAATACTTATAAATCCCTTAAATCTCTATTCGTGGACCACCAGATCCTGGGAAATCGGAGCAGTCGCTGCAGGAGCTCCAGTGGCGACGGCACCTGGGCCGCGCCTTCCGCGAGCTGAAGCGCTCGGAGCACGTCCGCGCGGCGTTGGAGGTGGCAGCGCCCGGCGTCCTGGAGAAGACCGTGGCCGCGGAGGTTGGGACATGGCGAGTCTGGGGGGCTGGGGGTGACCTAACCGGGCTTGTATGAGCTTGGTGGGTTTGGAGGAGATCTTTGGGAGGGGGAGTGCAGCTTGATTTGAAGGAGGAGAGCCCTTGCGTATCCTCACCCTCCTATTCAAATATATATATATACATATATTGATGTGATATGGAACAAGCTCTGTGATTGTGGGGACATGTTTAGGCAATGTCAAAGCATTTCAAAGCAATTGTCACTGTCCTCTCAGGCCAACAACCACAGGTTGGGTGTAGAAGAAGCACTTTCGCTTTGAGCACTGAGCTTCATTAGGGGGAATTGTGACGACTCAGGTCGTTTCAATTCTCAGGCGAAAGAAGCACCAACCAAAGACACCTTGAATTCGGTTGAATATAGTGTTTCAATCTGACTATGTTCACCGCAAATATACATAGACTGGTCATTGGCTGGTCTAGTGGGTCTGTGTCGCTTTGTCGCATTGGTGTTTGGTACGCCCAGATCGGCGTCCTTGTTCCATCTTTTTCTCTTTGAAAACGATGTTGAGGGTGGACGAGTCTTGTCCAATGAATTTCAGACCGCTCAGAGTCACTGAGCACTCCTGCATTCCGTGTTATGTGTCCTCGATCCGTATAGTTAATAGTAGGGCGAGATTGACATAGATTGACTGTACTCTCCTGAAAAAGTAACGCATCCCTCTAAAGGAATTTATCTCTTATCTGACTGGTGCTTAATTAATAGGGAATAAGGGAATGAGCCCCCAATAGAGATTCTATTGGATCCATTCCCTCATTCCCTGCTAAGCACCAGTCAGTTATTGTGTTATGTTGTTTTGTGTGTGTGAACAGCAATCAAGGACTCAATCATCATAATCCTGCCCAAATTCGCAGGGTTTTTGCAACCTTTATTTGCGATGTTGGAAGGCCAAAGTGGACGTTGAGAAGGATCCCACCATCGAAGAAGAGGAGGAGAGCCGGAGAGCAGAGGTCTCAACCATTGGTGGATATTTGTGATTACAGTGATTACCAATGGTTGATAACATTTGATGACCAACCTCCTTGGAGAAGAAAATTTGATTCAACCTGAAATTGTCATAGTCATTTGCTACATGTGTTTCCAAGTATCGACAAACCCAAGGTGCCTTTCAGAGTTCCCCAATTCTTTTGCAGTCGTTTCGAGTATCCTAATAGCACTGCACAGAGTTTGCTGACCACCCACAACCTATTTGCGCATCGTGTGTTTTTTTTATTTTTTTCCCGAATGCGTAGCGAAGGGTTCCGGTTTATAGTTGGGGGTCTGGGGGTTGGAGCTGTGTTTGCATGGCTTGCGTCGTCTCGTCGTCTCTCGTCGTTTGTCGTCGTTTGTCGTCGTCTCTCGTCGTCGTGTCGTCGTCGTCGCGTCTCAAATTTGCTGCCATTGGGGGAAGCTTTTGCAAGTGACTTTTCATGGATGTGTCACGTGTCAGTTTGCGCCGCTATTCCATTGTGATTTGCATGAGAAGGACATGTCGCGCAAGAAACGTGATGCATTTCGCTGCACAGGCGCAGCGTTTTGTGAGATCCGCAGATTGCTGCGCAGTTCCATTGGGATTAGCGTTTGGAGAGTCGTGTTTTTGGGGTGTTGGATGTGGCCGTGCCATTGGGATTTGCGTTTCAGGGTGTGGCATCGAAGCTCGGTTTTCGTGACAAGTCTCAGCTGAAATGCCGATTTTGGTGGACGGGAGTGTGCTCTGAACGGGTCGAAATCATTCCAAACGTGTGGTGTGGTGCAAATTTTGTTGAAGCTCACATGCGATGATATTGTCACTTTTCGTGGCAGGCGCAGGACTTCGTGCGGGCTTTGAAGCGTGGAAGTGCGATTCTCGTGGCAGGCGCAGGGAATCGTGAGGTTGCGAGGTGTGAGGGATCTAACATTTCGTGGCAGGCGCAGTACTTTGTGGGCGTTAGACGTGTGGATGGGGAAAGATTCGTGGCAGGCGCAGGGAATCGTGAGGTTGTGAGTTGTGTTAGAGGTGAATGTCGCTGTCACATTGGGATTGGCGTGTGCGCGGATGTTGTTTGGAGGGGCTGGAATCGCGAAACTGCTTGGCAGGGCTGCGTGATGTGTGTGCTCCGATGGGTGTTTCCGCTTGACTTTTGGAGGAAGTCTCGTACGAAACGCTCGTTTTGCAGACTTTGACATGTGAGTTTTTGAGGAAGTCTCATACGAAACGCTCGTTTTGGAGACTTGACGCGCAACCCTCTGCGGAGATCATGCGCGTCGAGTGTGCGAAATGCAGGCGAGAGTGCGATTTGTCCCATGCGCGCGCAACCCTCTGCGGAGATCGTGCGTGTCGAGTGCGCGAAATGCAGGCGAGAGTGCGATTTGTCCCATGCGCGCGCAACCCTCTGCGGAGATCGCGCGTGTGGAGTGCGCGAAATGCAGGCGAGAGTGCGATTTGTCCGGTGCCCGCGCAACCCTCTGCGGAGATAGTGCGTGTCGAGCGCGCGAAATGCAGGCGAGCACTGGCAACTTTGTAGTGCAACTTTAGTACGCGGGGTATCTGGGGAGCTAGAAGATGAGAACTGGTGACTTGGTAGTACAACTTTAGTACGCGGAGCAATCTGTGGAGCTAGAAGCTGAGAACTGGCGACTTTGTAGTACAACTTTAGTACGCGGAGCAATCTGTGGAGCTGGAAGCGGAGCTGGAAGCTGAGAACTGGCGACCTTGTAGTACAACTGTAGTACGCGGAGTATCTGGGGAGCTGGAAGCTGAGAACTGGCGACCTTGTAGTACAACTGTAGTACGCGGAGTATCTGGGGAGCTGGAAGAGAGTCCCACAAGAGTGTCCCGCAACAGTGTCCCACTAGAGTGTCTCACAAGAGTGGCCCTTAAGAGTGTCCTACAGGAGTATCCCACAAGAGTGTCCTACAAGAGTGTCCCACAAGAGTGTCCCACAAGAGTGTCCCACAAGAGTGTCCTACAAGACTGTCCCACAAGAGTATCCCACAAGAGTGTCCTACAAGAGTGTCCCACAAGAGTGTCCCACAAGAGTGTCCCACAACATTGTCCTACAAGACTGTCCCACAAGAGTATCCTACAAGAGTGTCCCACAAGAGTGCCACAAGAGTGTCCCACAGAGTGTCCCACAACAGTGTCCCACAAGAGTGTCCCACAAGAGTTTCCTACCAGAGTGACCCACAAGAGTGCCCTACAAGGGTGTCCTACAAGAGTGTCCCACAAGAGTGTCCCACAAGAGTGTCCTATTAGAGTGTCCCACAAGAGTGTCCCACAAGAGTGTCCCACAAGAGTTTCCTACAAGAGTGTCACACAAGAGTGTCCCACAAGAGTGACCTACAGTGTCCCGCAACAGTGTCGCTCAAGAGTGTCTCACAAGAGTGTCCCTTAAGAGTGTCCGACAAGAGTATCCCACAAGAGTGTCCTACAAGAGTGTCCCACAAGAGTGCCCCACAAGAGTGTCCTAGAAGAGTGTCCCACAAGCGTTTCCTACAAGAATGTCCCACAAGAGTGTCCTGCAAGTGACCCACAAGAGTGTCCCACAAGAGTGTCTCACAAGAGTGTTCCACAAGAGTGTTCCACAAGAGTGTCCTATAAGAGCGTCCCACAAGAGTGTCCCACAAGAGTGTCCTACAAGAGTGTCCCACAAGAGTTTCCTACAAGAGTGGCCCACAAGAGTGTCGTAGAAGAGTGTCCGACAAGAGTGTCCCAGAAGAGTGTCCCACAAGAGTGTCCTACAAGAGTGTCCCACAAGAGTGTCCCATAAGAGTGTCCTACAAGAGTGTCCTACAAGAGTGTCCCAGTAGAGTGTCCCACAAGGGTGTCCTACAAGAGTGTCCCACAAGAGTGTCCTACAAGACTGTCCCACAACAGTGTCCCACTAGAGTGTCTCACAAGAGTGTCCCTTAAGAGTGTCCTACAGGAGTATCCCACAAGAGTGTCCTACAAGAGTGTCCCACAAGAGTGTCCCACAAGAGTGTCCCGCAAGAGTGTCCCACAAGAGTGTCCTACAAGAGTGTCCCACAAGAGTGTCCCACAAGAGTGTCCTACAGAGAGTCCCACAAGAGTGTCCTACAAGAGTGTCCCACAAGAGTTTCCTACA